TCTAATACAAGATGACCGACTACTTATACTAAGTGGAAAGGGTTAAGGGCAAGGCTACCGCACAGTAGGTAAGGGTAAAGGGGATGTAGATATGGTATAGGTGCGTTGGCAACACAGCCGGATTAGTGATGGGTGGTCGAATGTGGAATGAGACCGAGAAACGTTGGAACGGACCAACGGTAAGAATACAACGTGCGGGAATCCGCAGTCAGGGGAAACAGAAAGAGGAAAGCCACATTGGTGGCACGAGTCAGACCGAGTCATAGGTGCGGGACCACATTGGTGGTCGAATCAGAGGATGAACGTGCGTGCACGTGCATAGAGGCGGGCGATGCGAGGGACGGGAACGGTCCCGAGGATCCGGTCAACGGAAAGGCGGTAAAGGAGGACGAGCCGGTAGATGGTGAGGGCAAGGATGAGGGGAAAATGATAGGGGGGCCACGTGACCGATGTTACTTGTAACAAGAAGTCAAACGACAACAGAAGGACAAAGGGTACAATAGTAGAGTAGCCGGACATTGTGTTGTCCATTAGAGAGTGGTCTGAGTGTATGTTTTTTAGTTGTCTCTTTCATGCACGCACTAATGATACTACAGATGATGTTAAACATTTAGAGTCTCAGTCTCCCTCAATGTATTCGATCCCCCTGGTCATCGACACGAATGGTGAGGTCCTCCGTGAGCTTCAGGACTTGGTCAAGTGTTTCAAGGACTTCCCCCTCCCAGATCAAGCTAGTACCAAGCAGGTAACTGAAGAGCTCCCTTCGTCTGACCAAGAAGCTGTGCGCTCGACTCCAGTAGCTTCGCGCCCAACCCAGGTGGCTCCGTGCCCATCCAAAGTAGCTCTGCACCCAACCCAGGTGGCTTCGCGCCCAACTCAAGTAGCTCCACGCCCAACCAAAGTGGCTTCGTGCCCAACCCAGGTAGCTCCACACTCCAAAAGTTCAGTGTATTCCATGCACCTGGTCAGTTGTGGATAGCTGGGGACCTTCAGATGAAGTCTTGCTTCGGGCCACACATGAACAGGCGCAGCCATCTTTTCAGGATGAGGATGACCAGAGTGTAGGACCTGTGGAAGAGGATGACAAGGGTGATTCGGATTGTGGTGAGATTGGAGATAATGAACTGATGGATGCAATTGAAGACATTGCATTGGTGGATGAGTATAGGTATGATATAGACCCTGATGATGACCTAGATGACATTGAAGATGATTTTATGCCATCATCCCCTACAAGATGTCCTACGAGATAGTATTGCATATAGATGTTATATAATAAATTTAATATATGCACAATACCTTGGTCTTTCTCTATAAGTGCAAAAGTATTAATAGTTTTTCCCATAAGTGCATGTGGTTCACACTTGGTCTGTCCCAATGTATCATTGGTCTTTCCCAATTATTTTAAACAGTACCTATGGTCCTTCCCCCTGATCTGGTCTTTCACAATTATTTTGAAAAGTACCTATGGTCCTTCCCCGCCCAGTGTGGTCTTTCCCCGCCCAGTGTGGTCTTTCCCCGCCCAGTGTGGTCTTTCCTGATTATTTTGAAAAGTACCTATGGTCCTTCCCCCCTGATCTGGTCTTTCCCGGTTAGTTTAAAACATACTGATGGTCTTTCCTGGTTAGTTTAAAACATACCACTGGTCTTTCCCATTGTGACCTGGTCTTTCCCTATGACAGTGAAAAATACCAGCGGTCTTTCCCGGTTAGTTTAAGACATACCAATGGTCTTTCCTGGTTAGTTTAAAACATACCACTGGTCTTTCCCATTGTGATCTTGTCTTTCCCTATGACAGTAAAAAATACCAGCAGTCTTTCCCAGTTGGTTTAAAACATACCAATGGTCTTTCCCGATGATAGTAAAAAGTACCAGTGGTCTTTTCCCTCCTAATATGGTCTTTCCCTCTGACGGTAAAAAATACCAATGGTCTTTTCCCTCCCAATATGGTCTTTCCCGGAACTACTAATGGTCTTTTCCCTCTTGATATGGTCCTTCCCTATGATGGTAAAAAATACCAATGGTCCTCCCACTGGTGGATACAGGTCTTTCCCTATAAGCACAAAACATAACAATGGTTCTTCCCACAAGTGTATGTAGTGTTGTCTCAGCTCATCTCAGCTTATGCATTAGCACAGCAAACCCTTGGGTACAGTGTGCTCTACCTGCATCTGTACCGGCAGTACACCCATACCCATAAATGCATGGGTCACATGGGTAAACCCCTGGGTATGTCTGCCCTCTTACTTCCTCTTTGATGCTTGCCAAGTCTTGTGATGCATCAAGCCAGAAGATGATCTCATTAATGTAGCTCTCAAGCTTTGACTTGTCAGCAAGCCTCTCGCTGATTTGCAAAGGTTGTATGCATATGGTTCAAGGCTGTTCTTGACCGAAATATGAGCAGCATGGTCGTCAGCTGTAGTTTATAGATATTATAGATAAGCAGAAAGATACCCTTGTATTTCTCAGCCTCATTGACTATGCACTTGATCTTCTCAGCAGACAAACAATCCTTGTTGTTGGTGAAACCTTGAAGGAGAAGAGCGGGAGTTGGATGAGGGCTGCAATGATATTATTTTGTAGTCTATGCATGTCTAGTAGCTACATTTGTATGTATACCCATTGGTTTACCCCTCATGGGTACCATACCTGCTGATACCCTTGGATACACGGGTATGGGTGCGGGTCAAGGTCTGGAGATCTGCAGGTTTACCCATCCTAATATTGTCAAGTTTTGCACATGCCCAGAGGCTGTGGCTGCCGATATACAGCTCTTTCAAATGGGTCTGTTTCTGGCCTCATTTTTAGAATCAAAAACAGCTTTCACATTCAATGTCTTGGATGACTTCTTGCTGGACAACCTGGAGTGTGGGATCTCAGTAATGAATTATTACAGCAAATTAAGGAGGATGACAATAAGTGTATTTCCCAACTTGGTGCTGGTAGGTTCATTGATCACTCACTGGCTGTGTCATTAATTAGGATGAAGAACTGTTACAGAGAGCTCATGAGGGTAGCCAGACAATGGCAGAAACTGAAGCTCCTGAAATGGAATGACTTCAGCCATGAGGAGAAAGAAATCAGACCCGGCGATCTCACTCTCTTCTGTCCGGTGTGTCCCCAGCCAGGGATCAACCTCACATTGCCAATGGGAGAATCTTCCGAGGCCTGCAATGCTGACCAAGAATCCAATCTGGAGATGCTGAGTTGGCTTTACACTAGATCTCTTGTCATGGACAGAAACTTCAAAGCTGAGCATCTCCATGCGGTAAATCCCACCGATAAAGTATCTCTAATAGATGGCTGTGGCTTCATGGTCGGCAATCTACTCTACAAGAAGCACTTGGCCATTGCCAACGATGGCATTTAACATTTGGAGTGCGGACATCTGAACCACGCAGCCGGTGTAAAGAGTTGATTCTATGTGGGCTCTACAAAGTGTTACCTTCAGAACTCAGTGTGCGAGTGATATGCTCGTCCCAAAGAGACTGCCTATAGAAATACTCCTTGATATAATGCAAGGGATATCTTGTTAAGATCAAGGATGAGAGAAAGGAAAGTTACCAAGAACGCGCTCAATGTTCCGAGGATGCGTCCAAAGTGGTCCGAAGGTGGTCCGACATCAAGAAATGAAGGTTCAAGGTTGCGCGAAGTGTCTGAAGAGCTTCCGATGAACAGCAAGTGTTCTGAGAGAAGTACGGCGGTGTATCGAAGTATAAGACTCGTGAAGTATAACTAAGCAAAGTCTATTGGGAGAACTTTAGAGACAGCGAAGAGCGAAATGGCAGCGGTCAGGCCAAAACAATCGTTCCGAATGAACAAAGATCGATTGCGCGAAGTACGACTATCCGAAAGTGACTCTACTAACTATGACTTGTAGCAGGGAAAGTGAAGTGAAGTGCGAGTATCTAGCGAGGCAGATTATATCCTATAGCATGAAAGTCCGAAAAAAAAAAACTGCGTAGGCGAAACCAGTAGTGAGATAAGACATCCGAAATGTAATAAGACTTGAGGCGAGCCGCTACAGAGATATGCATGTAATAAGGCGCAAGGTGTGTTGTTATACGTGTAACCGATGGGCCGACAACATATGTGCCCCTGGACATAATCAATAACAGATAACCAAGTGAAAAACGCACCAGCAAAGTCAAACGGATACGGACGGGACATGGTACGGAGGATCGGAACTGTATACAGGCCTCAGAATTGGACGGACGACCTTCGGACAACTCGGATGAATGCATGGAACTCTCGGAAGGTAAATGGAGTGTCGAGGAATGTGTATGTGGAATACCTATGAGTTTGGCAGGATACGAGCCCAACACCGATCCGAGTGCTACATCTGCGGGGGACTTAGATACTGACCATCCTCGGTCAGTCGTACTCAAAAATGACTTAGCGAAAATCTGCAAGATTTGAGCGCACGTGACTGTTCCCCATATGTGGAGCAAAGCGAGAATCAGTGGACCGGTGGATCGTGGGAATTGTGGTTCGTCGGAACAATGGAACACAGGTTTGTGGATCGAATTGTTGTTCCCTATAAATTCTCGCCCTCTTCGCTTCTTCTCTTTCCTTCATCGCATCTATTACTGTCATGTCCTTTGTCCAAATACCCAGTTAACCCTGACGCTGAGCATCTGTTGCGCATGTTCGACGCGTACAGTCATAGAGCTTGACCAGCTCCACACGCTAATTCCGCTCGACGGAGTCTGTTCCATCAGCTGACATGGAGCAATGGTGCGGTGACTGGGATACATTCTTGGTGCGTGTCGTTTTTCCTTTTTCTTTTCTTCTCTGCATACTGACTTGTATATATTTTTCAGAAAAACTTCGGCGCAGTGCCAGACCGAGGCCGCCGAAAAGTGTGTCACGCTTCCTTCGACTGCCGCCATCGGCAAGAAGGGAGACGACTGCATCAGCCACCTGTCCTCTTGTGGCAGAGGCGATTCACAAGGCCGAAGAGAAGTGTGCGGAGGACACTCGGAAGTTGGAGGAGGAATGGTGGAGAGTCGAGGAGGAGGAAGAGCTTGCTCGGAAGGCTGCAGAGGAGAAAGATTTGGTGAGGAAAACTGTGGAGGCTACTGCATTGGCCCGCAAGATTGCGGAGGATGGAAAGAAGACTGCGGATGTCAACAGAGACGATGAGCAGGACGTTGGGGATGGAGAAGGGGACAGTGAATCTTTGGAGGCTGGAGAGAAGACCGGCAACATTATCATTGTCAAGCAGAAGGTATGTTTACTTGTTCTCTGGTTTCCGATTCATGCTGACTTGTGTTCTTTTTCAGACTGGTCGCATGACCGCTGGCTCCGCGCCAGTCATTTGTCGGGACAATCCTTGCGCGAAGTGCGCCCAGCAGGCTCTTCATTGCGTTGGACTCACCGGACGGAGTTGTGATGCATGCAGAGATGCGCACATTCAGTGCGAGTTCAGTACCTTGGCCCCTAGTAAGTCTTTTCTTTTTGTTGCTTCTTTGTCTCAGAACTGACTTGTATTTTTCAGAAGGCAAGAGGGCTAGGGCCGCTGCTGCTATCGCGACACCGGTTCTGGTCGCAGGTGGTTCTCGGACTACCGGAAGGAAGGCCACCTTGGAGCACGTGACTGTTGTGTCCGAGGATGAAGACGCTGCGCCTCGTGCTCGTCCGGGACCCAGAAAAGGCAAGAGAAAGGCTGCTGTGGTGGAAGAGGAAGAGCAGGACTTAGACGAAATCGACGATGCGTTGGAGCGGGAGTTCGCCATTTGGGGGGTGAAGTATCAGCAGGCGGAGGGAATCATGCAGGAGATGAAGCTTGAGATGGACCGGGTCGGTGTCCTCATGGCAAAGCGGCGCTGTATCTGCAAGTAGATAGTTCCTCTTAGTTAGTTCTTTCTCCAATGTATCATAGCAATATAGATGGTTTTGGTCCTGAGTATTCCGGTGTGCATCCATTCCAATACCATGTCCAAGTCTGGAATTCCTGTTTGATCTTCGCTGTGCCTAAGAGGAACATAAGAATATTGAGCACACGCTATCGGAACAATTGGAATAAGAAATAAAATAGTGTACTAAGTGTGTGGAGTACCGTCTGTCTTGTCTTCATCGATGCACTGTCATCGTCTATGCCTTCGGATGCTCGGTTCGTAGTCCCTTGTTTCTGAAAAGTCTGTCAAAGTGCGTGGCACGCTACCTCCGCGTGTGAAGGGAAATGTATAGTACTCGTCGCTGTGCGCAGGATATATTCGGAAGTCCTAGAGTTCATTCTCGCAAGTCCATGTCACTGAATAAATGTCTATATGCTTTCATGCGGATCATATGTAAAGATTGTTCGGAAGTTCGGAGAATTAAAATGAGATCACCGGATGAAACCCGGGGTAAAACGGAGACTATCATACTGTTTTTGTATTTTTCTGTGTTTGGTTCGGAAGGAATGGAGTTGTCGCTACTATTCATTGGATCCAATGTCGAGTTCTTCGTCCACTGGCTCTTCTACCACTTCTTCTGCAATCTTGTCCAATGCTTCTTCATCGAGACCGGTAACGCTTGTTACAGATACCTTGCTTTCACTTTGCGGGAAATACGGAAGCAGCCGGAACACCACATATCTGAGCTTGGATATCGATCCATCCAACTCGCCTAATACGTACAAACCTCTGATAGTCCTGCGAAGGACAATCATTGGTCCGAGGTACCTTGGTTTCATTTTCCGGTTAAGCTTGTACTCAATCTTCGAGTTCCACACGAGCACGAGAGTGCCTGGAGCGAAGTCGTGATCCTTGATGGTGTTTCGGAACTTCTCTTCAAATTCGCGGACTGACCGGAATCGCGCTTTCATGACTTTGTCCTTGATGCTGTTGAGATCTTCTTGGTGCTTCATGAGTTGATGGGTGTGCCATGCTATGAGGTCTTCGGATGTGAAAGTCTCTTGTTTCGGTAGATCTACAAGAAAAGTCACTTCGGCGAGGTCAAATGGGAATATCGGTTCTACTCCGTGTACCATGAAATAAGGCGAAAGTCCGGTGGACTGCTGGATAGTTACCCTCTTGGCCCAAAAGGCTGTGTGCACATACAGATACCATCGGGATTCTTCTCCCCCAGAACTGTTCATGATGGCCTCCCGGACATCTCGGTGCCGCCGCTCTATGATTCCATTTGCTTGCGAGTTGTACGGTGATATCCAGACGTGGTGGACGTTGTATCGCTCTGCAAGATCATCAACTGCGGCTTTGATAACTGGTGCATTGTCCATAACGATTTCGACGATCAGACCCCATCTGCAAAAGAGTTCCTCAAAGATAAATGATGCTATAATCTTCGTGGATTCTTTCCAGAGTAATCTCCATTTTGGATAGGACGTTAGTGCACAGCGAGCATGAATAATTCGGTCAAACCCTCCGGCTTTCGGCATCATCATAATATCAATATGTACCCTTTGGAATATTCCTCCGGGCACCGCAATTATTGGCGGGATGTGCAACTTCCGGGTTTGCCTGATCTGGCACTCGTGACACATTCTGTTATACCACTTGATATCGTCAATCATCAGTGGCCACCAAAATCGGAGGAGGAGACAGATTCGGATCGTAAATACTCCCTTATGCCCGAGGTCGTCGTGCGCCTCCTTGAGCAACTTGTAATGCTTGGTTTCTGGAATGACGAGCTGATGTTTTCCTTGCATGTGCTTCCTCCACATTCTTTCGTCGAGGATGAAGAATTGGCATGAGGCATTTACAAATATCTCATATTCTTCATCCGAGAGTTCCAAAGGTCGTTTTCGGTTCTCAAGGAACTTCTGAATCTTGAGGATTTGCGCGTCCTGCGCTTTCGCGACATCGGAATGTGGAATGCGGGTTTCGTCGGGAGTGACTTCAGTGGTACCTAACAAAACAACAAGCGTGGGGGGGCGGGTTAGTGGGTTTGGGACGGGTGAGTCGTGTGGATGGTGTGGGTTATCAGCATCTACTCTTGCGATAGCGTGAGTTCGGTCATTGAGGATTTCCATAGAAAACGAGTATGAGTGGTCAAGCCAGTCCTCATGATCATTGTCTTTGTCCGGATCTTCGTCAGCACGCGGTCTCCTTGAGAGTCCATCGACGCCTGCGTGCTTTGCTGCGGGAACGTGAACTAGCGTAAATTGAAACAGAAGTATACCAGCAATCCATCGGTTGATTGTTGCATTCGGTTGGAGATCGGTGTTATTGATCATCCCCTTAATATACTTGGCATCGACCTCAACCATAAGGTTGATGACACTGAAAATAAAAACTCGGACTGCGCGGAGAGCATGGAACAAACCGTATAACTCCAGCTTTGCCTGAGAGTACCTAGTCTTGACTTCCATGAGTGCGATGGATCTGAAATGATCCGGGTAACATTTTCCGTCTTCACCGATCTGTAGAAGGATAAATCCGATAGCAATGTTAGATGTATCAACCGTGAGAATGACTTCATGACCGCATTTGTAATCGATTGGACGGAGTGCAGGGGACTCTAATATGGAGTCCTTCAGGGTCTGCATCGCTTCTTGCTGTTCCGGTCCCCATACGAAGGGCGCATTTTTTTCTGTGTAAGGTTGACGAGTGGACGGGCGATCTTCGAGAAATTCTTGATAAAGATGCGCAAGACTCCGCAGGTTCCAAGGAAGCCCCACACATGTGTGACGTTGCAACACTTGGGCCAGTCTCGGATCTTTTACACTTTGGATTCTTCAGGAACACGACCTTCAAGCATACACTTGTGTCCGATGATAATAGCGGTTGGTGCGGCTAAAACGAACTTAGTAGCGGATATGGTTACACCAATGTTTTCGAGTCTCTGGAGTATGTGGTTGACTAGCGTGCAATGCTCCCAAATGAACCGGCAAATGCCCGGATTCTCCGGAATGGTTTTGTACGAGCCGTCAGCTCTCTGATACCACGTTTTCACCGATCTAATCGGAACATCGTCAACAAAAGGGTACATGAAATCCGGGATTTAATCCGAGCCCCTTCAGTGACAAATTCCATATTATATGGGCCATCCGACCTACATAATATCCCGTATCAGACGGGCCAGTGGACCATGGGCCCATGTTGTGTATATCCTCGATGACGACGGATGGGCCGGGTAACATATTATTTCCGATGGAGACGGGTGGGCCCATGTATGCCAATGATATATATATCCTTGATGTTGACGGATGGGCCGGGGGAATATGATCATTCATGGAGATGGGTGGGCCCATCTGGGTAATATGTAGAGTAGGATATTATAGACAGCTGGGCTGAAGAGAGATGTAAGGCAAATATTGTTATATAGATGGGTGGGCCAACAAGGGTGTATTACATATATGGGTGGGCCGGGGTAGGGGAATATTACATAAATGGGTGGGCTGATGTGGGGCATATTACATATACGGGTGGGCCGACATGGGGAGTATCACATATACGGGTGGGCCGAGGGTGCAATAAAATATTTATTACATAGACAGGTGGGCCGAGGTGGTGGAATATCACATATACGGGTGGGCCAACATAAGGGATATTAATTAGATGGGTGGGCCGAGGGTGTGATAAAATATTAATTACATAGACAGGTGGGCCGAGGTGGGGTATAATTATATAGACGGGTGGGCCAACATAGGATGTATTACATAGACGGGTGGGCCGAGGTGGGGGATATTACATAGATGGGTGGGCTGATGTGGGGGAATTGTACATAGATGGGTACATATATGGGTGAGCCTAGATATGTTTCATCAAGACATACAGCTGATGTAGCCACCAGCGAATCAAACACGTAGGATACATGCACACTATGAGTGCATATACCTACCATCAACCACCGAAATCTAAACCCGTAAGCACGAAAACATGAATCGACCATGTGTGGCATTGACCAATAATTGAGTACTGAAGTGGGAAAACCCCACACCTGAACCCTGGTGTGCAATATATCCTATTTCTACACACAGACACCAGAAGCACAACACTTGCAAAAATATAAATGTCAAATTTTCACAGTGCCGAACCCCGAACCCTGAGATTTTACCAACTCCTGAACCCCGAAATTGTGGACTGCCGGGTCTCGGGGGTCGGGGGTCGGCACTCGGGACTTGGGAAATTTAGGGAGATCAATAAAATTTGATCTACAATAAATTTGATTTACAAACAAATTGATTTACAAACTTTTGAAAGATCTGTGTCGTCTCACATATTGAGTCCTGAGTTCTGGGACCCCCGAACCCCGAGACCCGGCAGTCCACAATTTCGGGGTTCGGGGGTGATCTACAATAAATTTGATTTACAAACTTTTGAAAGATCTGTGTCGTCTCACATATTGAGTCCCGAGTTCCAGGACCCCCGAGACCTGAGACCCGGCAGTCCACAATTTCAGGGTTCGGGGGTTGGTAAAATGTTTATGGATATATGAAAGGTTGATTCAAACATGTTTGAAAGATGTCTTTCATCTCAAAAATCGAGTCCCATGTTCTGGGTAAGACATCTTTCAAACATGTTTGAATCAACCTTTTGTATATCCATAGACATTTTACCAACCCCCGAACCCCGAAATTGTGGACTGCTGGGTCTCGTGTTTCGGGGTTCGGGGGTCCCGGAACTCGGGACTCAATATGTGAGACGACACAGATCTTTCAAAAGTTTGTAAATCAAATTTATTGTAGATCACCCCCGAACCCCGAAATTGTGGACTGCCGGGTCTTGGGGTTCGGGGTTCGGGGGTCCCGGAACTCAGGACTCAATATGTGAGACGACACAGATCTTTCAAAAGTTTGTAAATCAATTTGTTTGTAAATCAAATTTATTGTAGATCAAATTTTATTGATCTCCCTAAATTTCCCAAGTCCCGAGTGCTGACCCCCGAGACCCGGCAGTCCACAATTTCGGGGTTCGGGGGTTGGTAAAATGTCTATGGATATACAAAACTCGGGACTTGACATTTGATATGAGACATCTTTCAAAAATGTTTAAATCAACCTTTCATATATCCATACACATTTTACCAACCCCCGAACCCTGAAATTGTGGACTGCCGGGTTTCAGGGTTCGGGGGTCTCGGAACTCGGAACTCGGTATGTAAGACAACAAAAATATCTTTCGGGGTTCGGGGGTTAGTGAAATGTTTATAGATATATGTAGGTTAATTCAAACATGTCTGAAAAATTTCGTTCATCTCAAATGTCAAATCCTGAGTTCTGGGTTTCAGGACTCGGCACCTGGCACTCGGGGTTCGGCACTGAAAATTTGACATTCGGGTGTTCGGGTGATATCTAAATCACAACAGCTTTGAGTTCTGCCAAAGCGTGAAACTTGAAACCCAGTGTGCAACATGTTGATTTTTCATTTATATCACACAAATCATTGAGTTCCGAGTGCCCAGTGCCGAGACCCGAAGCCCGAGACCCGAAAATATGTACACAACATGTCCATTTTTCACTCACTGCACAAATCACCGAGTTTCGAGTGCCAAAGCGTGAAACTTGAAACCCAGTGTGCAACATGTTGATTTTTCATTTATATCACACAAATAACCAAGTGCCAAGTGCCAAGTGCCGAAGCCCGAAGCCCGAGACCCGAAAATATGTATATAACATTTCCATTTTTCACTTGTTGCACAAATCACTGAGTTTCAAGTGCCGAAACCCAAAACTCAAAACCTGGTGTGCAACATGTTCATTGTTCATTTACATTACACAGATCATCGAGTTCCGAGTGCCGAGGGCCAAAACCCGAAGCCCAAGACCCGAAAATATGTACACAACATGTCCATTTTTCACTTACTGCACAAATCACCGAGTTTCGAGTGCCAAAGCATGAAACTTGAAACCCAGTGTGCAACATGTCCATTTTTTATGTACATTACACAATTCATTGAGTTCCGAGTGCCGAGGGCCGAGACTCGAAGCCCGAGACCCGAAAATATGTATGCAACATTTCCATTTTTCACTTGTTGCACAAATCACCGAGTTTCAAGTGCCGAAACCCGAAACTCGAAACCCGGTGTGCAACATGTTCATTGTTCATTTACATTACACAGATCATTGAGTGCCAAGGGCTGAATATTGAAACCCAAAGCCCGAAAACATGTATGCCACATGCCCATCTACTCATTGCACAAATCACCAAGTGTCGAGTGCCGAAACCCGAAACACGGTACTTCAAATGGACATGAATTCTGTCTTTGTATGTATGTCATTTTTCATTATCATTTGCCTATATTGACTACCGAGTCTCGAGTACCGACCACTGACCACCGATCACTGAGTACCAAGTACCGAGTACTGACAAATACAATTACCAAGTTATTTGAACCCTACACCAATGGATAATACATACAAATACAATTCGTGTCCATGTGAAGTACTGGGTTTCAGGTTTCGACACTCGACACTTGGTGATTTGTGCAACAAGTGAAAAATGGACATGTTGTGTACATGATTTTGGGTTTCGGGCTTCGGGTCTCGGCCCTCGGCACTCGGAAGTTGATGATCTGTGTAATGTAAATGAACAATGAACATATTGCACACCAGGTTTTGAGTTTTGGGTTTCGGCACTTGAAACTCAGTGATTTGTGCAACAAGTGAAAAATGGAAATCTTGTGTACATATGTTCGGGTCTTGGGCTTCGGGTCTCAGCCCTCGGCACTCGGAACTCGATGATCTGTGTAATATAAATGAAAAATCAACATGTTGCACGCCGGGTTTTGAGTTTCGGGTTTCGGCACTCAAAACTTGGTGATTTGTGCAATGAGTGAAAAATGGACATGTTGTGTACATATTTTCGGGTTTCGGGGTTCGGGTCTCGGCCCTCGGCACTCGGAACTCGATGATCTGTGTAATGTAAATGAAAAATGGACATGTTGCACGCCGGGTTTTGAGTTTCGGGTTTCGGCACTCAAAACTCGGTGATTTGTGCAATGAGTGAAAAATGGACATGTTGTGCACATATTTTCGGGGTTCGGCCCTCGGAACTCGGAACTCGATGACTTGTGTAATATAATTGAACAATGGACATGTTGCACACCCGGTTTTGAGTTTCAGGTTTCGGCACTTGAAACTCGGTGATTTGTGCAACAAGTGAAAAATGGAAATGTTGCATACATATTTTCGGGTCTCGGGCTTCGAGTTTCTGCACTTGGCACTTGGCACTTGGTTATTTGTGTGATATAAATGAAAAATCAACATGTTGCACACTGGGTTTCAAGTTTCATGCTTTGGCACTCGAAACTTGGTGATTTGTGCAGTGAGTGAAAAATGGACATGTTGCGCACATATTTTCGGGGTTCAGGGTTCGTATTTTGGCTCTCAGAACTCGGAACTCGATGACTTGTGTAATATAATTGAACAATGGACATGATGCACACTGGGTTTCGAGTTTCAGGTTTCAGCACTCGAAACTCAGTGATATGTGCAATGAGTAAGAAATGGACATGTTCCATACATATTTTCGGGTTTTGGGCTTCGGGTTTCAGCACTCAGCACTCGGAACTCAATGATCTGTGTAATGTAAATGAACAATTGACGTGTTGCACACTGGGTTTCGAGTTTTGGGTTTCAGCGCTTGAAACTCGGTGATTTGTGCAGTGAGTGAAAAATGGACATGTTGAACAATGGGTTTCAGGGTCTCGGGTTTGAAAAATAGCATAATAACAACTTTCATGTTTTCATTATCATTTGCCTATATTGACTACCGAGTCCGATAAGGGACCCCTTGGATGATCCATTGCTCAATGAAATACTACCTGATTGGAAGTGTGCTGGTTATCAGATATTCATTTGTCAACTCCCGGGTCCCGGAACTCGGAAGTCGGTATGGTTGACCCAAATTTGGGTGGTTGGAACTTGGCATCTCATAGGGCAACACAAGCTTCGCACCCCGGATTCCAAATTTTGCAAGACAACCTGTGCACCATCAAAGGCCATGTCAGGAGATCACCTGCTGCTCCGGGAACTTGGTAACTTTGATTTATTACCTCCTCTGATTTGGTTGATGTACAACTACCTCAGCTCCATCATGTCTACAATTATGATACACATGGGCCCACCCATCTATATTTTATACCACCCTCGGCCCACCCGTCTAATACAACATCCCATACAACACCCTCAGCCCACCCATCTAATACAATATTTTATAATACCCTCGGCCCACCCGTCTAATTTAATATGTGTCTGGGCCCACCCGTGAATGTGATAACAAGTACCTACCCATCTATCTCATACACATCTACCTTAATACACCCATCCGCATAATATCCAACTACCTCGGCCCACCCGTCTACCTAATATTCATGTACATCGGCCCACTCATCTACTCTATATATTCCCTGCATGGGCCCACCCGCCTCCATCGGGAATAATTTGCCTCCTGGCCCATCCGTCATAGTCGAGGATATTTTTATCATGGGCCCATGGTCCGCTGGCCCGTATCATACAGGATATTATGCACGCCCGTTCCCTCATATTATACGGAGATAGGTCACTGTAATATGTGGCCGACCGACACTAAGCGCCAGAAGCCGACATGAGCGCCAGTTCTTATATTCTTATATACAAATGTCATCTTACTCGTCTCCCGACACACTTAAAGGTCGCTGCGCTCCACCACCCTCACGCGCGCTTCGCTCTCACTCAGTGCGCCTATCATACTTGTCGCTCAGTAGCGCTTCATAGCGCTTTCGCTCATTGCGCTTCACTCACCGTCGCGTGCCTCACCAGGCTTATCCGACAGCCCGGTTCAGTGTTTCCCTCCACTATTATACATAGAGGAACCTTCTCAGTAGCAATCCCCTTGGGCTGACATTAGATTCGTGCACAGAGGACTATCTGAGTATAATTCATACCACCCACTTTACAAGCATTCTACATTCCTCACCTACAACGTGTCAGTGGAATTTCCAGGAAGGTTAAACTCTGGTTGTTGAGCAGTACGATTGGAGGGAACACTTGGAGGAGGCTGTGGAAGTACATTGTCATACTGTCTATAACGTCATGGCATAGGAACACCAACACGTCGGCTCCTCCGCTGCGCCAGTGATAACTCCTCCTCATCTACTTCCATAGACGCCATGCCAACAACGACATCAGCTGCTGAGGAAGATGCATTGTGTGGCGAAGAATTGACCCACGACGCAGTGTGCATTGCTAAAGAAGTTGAGCAAATGTTGGAGGGCTCTGCTTCTATGGTCTCAGATGGTGGTGACACTCGTCGAGGGTGGAAGTGTGTGCTCAAAGACTGTCTGTTCATAACACCATCCGCGACAGTAAGTCCGCTGCTGCTCATTTCTGTTAGCAAATTATGACATATCTAGGTGTTATGGGACTATGCACAGGAGATCGTACAACACAATATGGAATACGCACATACTCATCCACACATGCCACACCCCACTCACCCCCCCATCCAAATGTCGCGCCGCGATGAATGCCTCCTTGCATTGATGGTGGAGGATAGGCGCGAAGCAGTGATTCGGCTATGGCAGGAGTTGAACGAGATCAAGCACCTGTTGGGTTTAGAGCACATTTAGGGAGGAAGAGCCAGGGGAAAGAGAGCGAAAGTCATATAGATATCCATTGCCTACCTGCCTTATGATTTACAGACCAATTCATGATTCTTTGTTCTGGAATACCACCTACTACTTGCTTGGTTCGTGAGTGCGTTCTACCAGACAAGCTGCCAATTTCTGGCAGAATTGCATGCACTTATGACCCTACTCTCTGAGATTGATCACTCACTAGTCAGTAATGATTCTCCTCGGCTTATGCATGTCTAACTGTGACTTCTAACAGGTCGATGTTCCCATCAGATTCGTGATCAAAGTACAAAATGCCAGCTTAGATTCCTTCAAAAAAGACATCAGGCAAGAAGTTTTCATTATCAGTGGTGACTGTAAGGGCTACCGAGCCATGCTGTACAGTTTCACATCCAAGACTTGCACCGTTGCTGTCCATGGGCAGCAATATCAGTAACTTCAGACATCCAGATTTCTTCTGGAATCTGTAGCGTCCATTTCTGAATTCAGTCATCCAGTTATTCAGACTCATTAGACTTTCAGTCATTATAATCATCCAGTATATCAGATGTTCCAGTGAGTTCAACCACTCAGGTCATCAGCCATCCAGTTGTTTCGACATTCCAGACTCATCAGTTCTTCAGTATACTAGGATGATCGGCATAGCAGGTATTCAGTTGACCAGGCTATCAGGTATTCCAGCAGTAACCAGTAGACCATTATTCCAATAGAACAGTAGCCCAGTAGCTGAGTATTTCAAGTCTGCAGTTCTATAGTAGCCTAGTAATCTAGTAGTCTAGTAGCCGAGTATTCCAAGTTCATAGCTCCATAGTAGCCTAGTAATCAAGTAATCTAGTGGTCTAGTAGCCGAGTATTCCAAGTTCACAGTTCCATAGTAGCCTAGTGTTTCAGTAGACTAGCTTTGCAGGAAATCAAATATCCCAACGATTTAAGCATTCCACAGTGGCAGTCAATTCTCAAACAACAGTCTATCAGTCTGCCCAAGCACCAGAATACCAAACAAAACAGTCCATTCATAGCTGTAGTAGACCTGACCATACAAATTTCTAACCTACTACTCAGACTCAGACTCGGACTCGGACTTCGTAACATAAAGCCCTTCCTGATAATCCTGCTCCACCTGTGTAACATTGTTGAGCTCATATGGACTTGGGCTTATGGGCCCCAATGAAGTGCTGCAGCTCCTTCGAGTATTTTCGTCCATGTGCGAGGTTTGAGTTTGTCGATGGATTCAAGGACCTCTTGTGTTGGAAGATTCCACATCGCCGACGAAAATTTATCATCGAATGAGCCCTGGACTAATTCACCTGTAGCCCATTGCTTCCATGCTCTCTCGACCTTGTGAATACACATGAGACAACTGTGGAGGAAGACATAAAACAAACATACCACGACAGTTGCAAGGGCAAGTGCAGCTTTGGGGGACGAGGTCTTCCGGAGGCTGTCAGGTATCGCAGCTATACTTTCGAGATAGAAGGCAAATGTATCGAGGATTGTCTTGTGCTGAAACGGCCCCTTCCCTATCTAAAACACCAGTTAATGAATTTGCTCAGTTGAGAGCTAGCCACTTACTGGATTCTCAGAGTCGCTCTCGTCAACATTGGCCCACATGAATGGGAAGATCGGAGGTGGAGCGTTTCCTCTGCCTTCATCATCATGAAAGGCCTGAGTTTGGGGGACGGCCCATTCAACGTATGCTTCAATTTCAACGGGTGTATCAAAGCCTGTGACCTGCCGTGAGATGAAGGCCTGTCACGGCCTTTTCGCCACGTGTTGCGAACATGCTGCGCCAGTTGTACGTGCAGTTGCTTGATCTGCAGGAACATGAGTAGTGAGAACATGGAAAACAAGCTGCTTACTAGGAAGAACACCGGATCATTCTTCTTCTGGAGGGTGTGTGAGTGACCTGTAAAACAACGGTCCCAAAGTCATTGCGCATCTGGAACTCGATCTGCTATATCCCAAGGCTCTTCAAATCAGTGCAATGAGCTCGAACCACATTGGCATAAAAACCGTCCTAAAATGACGAATTGTTCCAGGTGGAAGATCCTCGTTCCGAAATTTTTGGCTCGGTTGGCGTTTACGGTGGTGCATCTTTCCTTGGACATGAGCGGTGCTGCCACTTCCATCAAAGTCTGTGTCATTATCACGGTCTGTGGCATTGTCATCAGCTTCGCAGGTCGCTAGTCCACGTCGCATCAAAGACTTCTGCTTTGACTTGGCGTTAGCCGTGGATGATGTCTGTGAATTTGAACTTAGATGATTAAGCACAAAGGGGACATCACTTACCTTGGCAATGGCGAGGGCCATCATACCCTGTAAGTTTAGTGTAAAAATGTTAGTTTGTATTTGCGCATGTAAATGAATACAATTACCTTCGACTGGGCGCTATTTGCGGAGAGCTTATCTTGTGAAATTTGAATATGTGTCTTGAAGGCATAGCGCTTGAGGGACTGGACACTACGTTGCCTGGAAGAATTGGGTTTAAGTTGTATTTTATGCTCCATAGTTTTGCGGTTGTTCCTGTCCTTGCACCTCAAGTCGCAGTCTTCCCTGTTATCCATACTGACATCCCTATTCTCCTTCACAAGAGTATCACTCCGATCACTAGCATTATCGTCAACGTCGCTGGGGTTGTCATTGTTGGGACCCTCAATGTCGCTGAGGCGATTGTCGATCTCAATGGCATTATTGTCAACGCTGTCAACGGTGTTATTAGTATGATCCATATCGTGATTGGAGCTGGGCTCTGGGTCGACTTTGGATCTCTTGCTAGGCTGGGCAGACATTGGGGCGTCCATGTCAACATCGGACCTGAACTTAGAGTCACTGTTCTTGAGCTGAGTGGACGATGGGGCATCATCGTCAGAAGAATCGAGCGGTACGGCGAAGCGAAAAAGTGACAGTGGCACTGTCCATCATGTGGTT